GAGTGATATCCTGGCTCCTGCCTGCACCGGGAGCCGGTCCCCTGCTCCTGAGACGCGCTTTCCTGTTCCTGGATAATCAAGAGCCAACTGCATTTCCTTGGAAATGCGTCCTTGGATGCCGACCTGTGGTGCACTCGCTTTTAAGATGTTGTCCATGAATCTAGAGGACAGCCTTGTCTCATTGAAACTTTTAAAGAGAATCCTGCTACTCAACACCTCCAGGCACAGGCGGGCGGCTGGACCTCACTCTTGGTCTTACGGGTGCACAGAAGCCCTGAGGGCTTAAGGTTCACATTTGGCAGCTGTGAGAGCTATTTTGGGAGTTCCAACTCTGGGCTCAGCACACATAACATGTCACTTCTTGGGCCATGGCTGTCTGCGAGCTGTGCTGGCCATCCATCTCTGTCAGGACTTGTCCCTTGCTTCTTCATGAACAGAGCTATTAATACCCTTTCATCGGATCTAGCCAACTTCGGGAGGGCCTGAGCCCCAACATGCCTTTGCTCCTGCCCTGTCCTTATTGGCTACATTTTGAAAGTCAGAAACATCGACCCTGGTGTGCCACAGTCTGTCTTGGTGGCTTGGGGTTAGTCCTTGGGCTCTAGTGCCCCCTAGACCCAATGGTGGTCTTGCTRTCTGTGGTTCTAAGCTGTTAGGCATCCGTGAGCTATTATGGAGATCGGCTTGGTCAGAGGGGTCTCAACTACTACTGGGGGGCTACTTTTAAAAATCTTGAATTCTTTTTAAAAATTTTGTATTTGTTCTAATTAGTATATGTGACAGTGGAATGTATTTTGACACATCATACATGAATGGAGTATAATTTCTCATTCGCCTAGTTGTACATGATGTAGAGTTACACAGATCATGTAATCAAATATGCACATAGGGTAATAATGTCCGATTCATTCTACTAGACTTCCTACCCCCATACCCCCTCCACTCCCTCCACTCCTCTCTGTTTAGTCCAAAATACCACTATCTCCCCCCTCGCCTTATTATGAATTAGCATCTGCATATCAGAGAACACCTTTGGCCTTTGGTTCTTTGGGATTGGCTTATTTTGCTTACCATAATAGTCTCCAGTTTCATCCACTTCCTGGCAAATGCCATAATCTCATTCTTCTTTAAGGCTGAGTAATATTCCACTGTGTATATATAACACAATTTCTTTATTCCTTCTTCTGTTAAAGGGCACCTAGGCTGGTTCCAGAGCTTAGCTATTATGAATTTTTGAGCAGCTATAAACATTGATGTGGCTGTGTCCCTGTAGTTGATTTTAAGTCCTTTAGGGGTATGGCCAAGCTGTGGGATAGCTGGGTCAAATGGTGGTTCCATTCCAGGTTTTCTGAGGAATCTCCACACTGCTTTCCATRGTCGTTGCACCAACTTGCAATTCCACCAGCAACCTAGGAGTGTTTTCCCCCACATCCTTTCCCCCCACATCCTCACCAGCATTTATTGTTGCCTGTATTCTTGATAATTGTGCAGGGTCCCTTTCCGAACATCCATCCTGTTTCCAGGGCAACCTTACAGGGCAGCAAGGTGGGGGATGTCACACCCACATGGGTTTCACTCCCTGTTCTGCCCCTTGTTTTTTTCTGTGACCTTGGACCATTTACTCCAGTTTGCTTGGCCATCCAAYGGGTGCAAGTAGATTTTGCCTGCAGAGCAGTGGTGAGGAGAAATGAAAAAACGTTTAGAAGGACCCGAGCCCAGGCACAGACCAGGTACCCCGGCAAGGACGGTGTCCGTCCCCGAAGAGTTTGGACCCAGCTCTTGGCTTTAATGATGATATCACCTGTGGGCTCTGAGCCGAATGGGAATTCTGTGGAACAGAAGGGTTTAGTTTTGTGCTTTAATAGAATGTTACTGGAATGGAGTTTTTAAAACCAGAGAACACATCTGCTGAGTTCTTTTCTGCAAGATCATATTTATTAGCAGCAAATCCCAGAGCAGGGACTCCCATAGCCCCTCGATGCTAAGTAGTGCTCAGCTGGTAGCCGGGCCGAGGATGTCACTGAAAATGGTGGGGGCCGACCATGGTTGCCTCTGGGGGTCTCCTTGGTTCTCCCGCACACAGCAGGCTCCGGCCAAGGGGTGCAGGGGCTTGGCTTGGTGAGGCCCTCAGTGATGGTCCTTCCTTTTTGCCTTACTTGAAAGAAATCTTACTAGGAATCAAACAGATACTTCTCAACCAAAGAAATACAATCAGTCAACAAATATAGGAAAAAATGTTCACTGCATCTAGCAAATAAAAAAATGCAAATTAAAACTACATTGAGATTCCACTCTTGGTTCAGTCAGAATGGTAATTATCAAGAATGCAAGTCACAATAAATGTCGGCRAGGATGTGGGGAAAAGGAACACTCATACACTGCCGGTGCCACTGTGGAAAGCAGTGTGCAGATTCCTCAGAAAACTTGGAATGGAACCACCATTGGACCCAGCTATCCCACTCCTTAGCATGTACCCCAAAGCCTTAAAATCAGCATTCTACAGTAATGCAGCCACATCAATGTTTATAGCAGCTCAATTCACAACAGCTAAGCTATGGAACCAACCGAGGTGCCCTTCAACAGACGAATGGATACAGAGAATGTGTTATCTATACACAATGGAATATTACTCAGTCACAAAGAAAAATGGAATAATGGCATTGGCTGGAAAATGGATGGAACTGGAGGGTAGATCATGCTAAGTGAAATAAGCCAATCCCCCCAAACCAAAGGCCGAACGTTCTCTCTGATATGTGGAAGCTAATGCAAAATACAGAGGAGGATAATAAAGACCAGAAGACAGATCCAAGGAGTAAACCAACGGGAATGAAGGGGAGGGAGGAGGGATGGGATAGGGAAAGTCAGTGGAATGACCCTGACATAACTTTCCTAGGTACATAGATGAACACACGGCGGTGAGTCTCACCATCTTACACATCCACAAGACACTCATTTTAAAAAAAAATTACAAATGGCAGAAAGACCAGTGGAGGGAAGCCCATGGAGATGGGAGGAAATGAGGGGAAGGGGAGGCTTGGGGACTGAATCAGAGCAAATCATGTTTCATGAATTTATAATTATGTCACAGTAAATTCCGTGGTCAGGTAAACTAAAGAGAGCCAGTAGAACTTTAAAAAAGAAAGAAGGAAACTCTGCCTGGGTTTTGACTGACAGTGGGCCGTGAAGGACTCCTTCCGCCCTCTCACAGGGGCCAGGGCAYGGCCAGGCAGAGAGGCGGCCGCGCTGTTTGGCCCACGACGTGGCTGTGCGCGGTGCCACATGCTCCAGTCGCCGAGGCCCAGGCCGCTGATGCAGCCAACAGGCCTCAAGGGAGGCRGCAGGGCTCCCACCCAGATCCGCCCCCATCCTTTGGACACAGCCTGGTTTGCCCGCCATAAATCTGCTTCTCGGGGTCCCTTGCCACCAGAGGGGCCCTGGGAGAGGCGCTGGCCCTGATGCACTGAAGCTCCTGCTGGACCCAGGGGAAGGCGCCCCAGAGGCCTGACTCCATCAGGGGTGGGGTTGTGGGCCCTTCCGCYTCTGGACCCCAAGATGGACCTGCGCTTGGCATCCTGAGGCCACCTTGCATCCCCAGGAGACTCTGAGGACAGGGGATGAGCGAGGATGGTGGAGCAGCATGGTAGAAAGACCATGGATTTATATATTTTTTTAATTTTAATTTTGAGATACTTGTACATTCATATTCAATTACAAAAAGTAAGAGAAGAGAGAGAGAGAGAGAGAGAGAAATGATAGAGATACCCAAGTGCCCTTGGGCCTGCTCACCCTTAATAACATCTTGCAAAAGTTAGACCATTATCCGACCAGTGTCTTGACTTTGATGCAATTCAGATCCCTCATGGTGCACTTTAATTTTAATTTTTTGATACTGAATATTGAACCCTAAGGGTGTTAACCACTGAATCACATCCCCAGCCCTTTTTATTTCTTATTTTGAGACAGGGTCTTGCTGAATTGCTTAGGGCCTCACTAAGTGGCTGAGGCTGGCCTCAAACTTGGCGATCCTCCTGCCTCAGCCTTCCAAGTTGCTGGAATGACAGGCATGAGCCACCACACCCGGCTTTTATGGGGCACTTTTATTGTCAACCCATCTGTCCCCAGCCTCTGTGCTCTCTCAATCTCTGGAAACCACTGATCTGTTAGTCTGGACCTTGAGAAAGGCACAACCTCATCCCAGCCCCATGTGCAATGAACTGGGATTGACTCATTGAGAGAGACAAATTCTAGATTAAGCTACTTCATTAAAACACAAGTGTCATAGTGAAAACTAACCCKTTAGTCGGACAGCATAAGTCCAAAAAAGGAGGTCAAAGGCGCACCATGATGTTAGAGTGCAGGGAAAACTAGTGAAGCTGGTTTCAAAGAAGCAGAAAATCTCAGTCAGGTCTGGAAAGCATCAGAGGCCACTGCGTCCTTCCTCCTGAATCTCCCTCCCTCACAAGGGTGACCCTGGCTTTTATGAGGTGCTTGGCTTTGCTTTTTCAGTGCTGGGGATTGAACCCAGGAATGCTTTACCCCTGAGCTACATCCCCCTTTTTCTTTTTTATGTTTTGAAACAGGGTCTCAACCAAGTCTCTGAGGGTCTTGCTAAGTGRCTGGGTCTGGCCTCCAACTTGCAATCCTCCAGTCTCAGCCTCTACGTTTCTGGGATTATAGGCATGCATCACCACACCTGGCTTGTGAGGTGCTGCGGACTGTCTTTGTACTTTCCATAACGTATCTTAAAATATCTGGCTGCAACAAATACTTAGCTTACAATAATTATTGCATCCTAAAGTCTGTGTCCGTGCCTTTTGGAGGTGACAGCATTTCCTTGGGGATTTCAGTTTTGATTCTCAGAGAGAGCTTAGTGGCAACATGGAATTGGATGTTCAGGAATGTTCTAGAAACTTGGTGGGACCGTGCCAGGCCTGCTAGGACCACAGGAGAGCTCCCAGGCCTGTCTCGGGTGGCCGCTCACGCTGTGTTTCCCTTTCTAGGGGCTGGAGTCAGAGAAGATGTGTTTCTCATTTGGAAGGAGATGGAGGAGGCCTTCAGAACCCTGGCCCAGGTCCAGAGGCTGCTGGTCGAGCTCCCCAAGTCCAGCACGGCCCCGACAGACTGCGGTGGGTGCCATTTATGTCACTAGTGTGATGGAGTCATAAATGGTAGCAGTTGGGGCTGGGGGTTGTTTCCATGCTCCTAATGAGGAGAGTCTCTTGCTCAGCTTTGAGAAGCTGCTGGAGAGACAGCATGTGCACTCTGTGTGTGTGTGTGTGTGTGTGTGCGCGCGCGTTTAAAAAGAGCTGCACAGCAGTTAAAGCCGTAACAACAGATGTTCTTGGAACTGATGCAAGGTGTGTTTTGTCACAGGCCCCAGGGTGGAACTGGGCTTGATCTGCAGTGTGGACAAGTCAGGGTTCACAGCCACAGAGCAGGGTGGTGTTCACTGGATGGAAAATGACTAGGGGGAAGCCTCAGGGGTAAGGAGGATCATGGCTCAACTGCTCTAACAGGATTCTTGCTGAAGGCAAGCCTTGGTGATCAGACATCCCCCAGGGATGGGCAGGAGGAGGCTGCGAGAGATCAAGGGTGGGGGATTCTGGTCAAACTCCAGCTGGGCAAACCTGCGGTGGCATCTGCCTGTCATCCCAGTGACTCAGGAAACTGAGGCAGGAGGATTKCGAATTCAAAGCCAGCCTCAGCAACTTAGCAAGCAGTGAAGCCATCATCAAGTTCTCCTCCATCCTCAAGGTACCTCCAAGAGCACATGCCTCTTGGCAGAGTCTCCCCTAGACCAAGCTTCAGTTGGGCTCCTCTGCATCCTCTTTTCAATGAGGCCTCAACCTCTGGACTTCTGTGCTCATATTTGGATAGCTGGACTTTTTTTTTTTTTTTTTTTTTTTGGTACTGGGGAGTGAACCCAGGGGTGCTGAACCACTGAGCCACATCCCCAGCTCTTTTTTTGTATTTTATTTAAAGACAGGGTCTCACTGAGTTGCTTAACAACTTACCATTAAGGAGGCTGGCTTCAAACTAGCGATCCTCCAGCCTGAGCCTCCCGAGCCTCTGGGATTACAGGCATGAGCCACTGCACCAATTTGCAGTGCGATTGCTTTGCCAGGACCACCCCTTTGGGGATTCCAAAGGAGGAACCTGGGCAGGCTTGTTTAGGGGAGCAAATGACCCACTTGTAGGGTCACTGCACCCAAGAACCCAGACAGTGAGTCCCCTGTCATTTGGACCTCGGAAAATGAAGCAGACTCATGTGAACATCTCTGCCAGGCAGAGAGGATGGCAATTCTGTTGCTAAGGTGCTTGCATGGGGAGCTTTATGGACTGAATTGTGCCCCGTCCCATTTATGTTGACACCCCAGATCCAACTCGACTATTTTGGAGATCAGGCCTTTGGGAGGCAGTGAAGGCTCAAGGTGATCACAAGGGTGAGGCCCTAATCTGATAGCATTGGCATTTCATAAGAAGAGGGACAGCCACCAGAGAGCTGTCTCCCTCCACAGGCACACAGATTAAGGGATATGCCGGGACATGGCTGGAAAGTCAGCCAGGAGGAACGSATTCAACAGAAAGCAAGCTAACAGTGCTCTCATCATGAACTTTCAGCTCCCCAAATTGTGAGAAGACAAATTCTCATTGCCTAAGCCACCCAGCCTGCGACATTTTATTTACGGAAGCCCAAGCAGACTGTTGGAGGGAGTATTTAATTTCAGGGTAGTCAGGCCTAAGGGTTAACAGAAGGGTTTAGCTGCTACTTCTCAGGGATACAGAAGAGCTCTGGAGCTCTGGAATTGGACAATGACTTATAATTGTCCTTTTGTTTCAATCTAAAATGTAYACCCCCMAAAAAACCAAAGCCCAGAATTGCTYCAAGCAGATGTTTTCATGAACTTCTTTGAAGGTACTGTTTTAATTTTCATAGGAAGATCTCATCAGGACAGGTCCTCTGTGGGACAGTCATCAAGCTTTTGTGATCTCAGTTTGGCCCTGGTGGCTGCAGGTAGGGAGTCTGGCCCTCTTCTATTCCCGCTCACAGCTCAGTGACCTGATGCAATGTCTCACTTAGTCCATGACCCTGCTCTGATCCTGGGTCAAGAGCTTTAGGAAAGAAATAGAAAGAAAAAGGCTTAGAGCTCACACAGCCTCATCGATCGTGTTCGTTGTCACCAGCCTGAAAACTTGGCATAAGGTATGGGGCCGTGGGTAGACCACGCTGGAGAGTCTGGCCTCCGTGATGGGGAATGATTAGCCTTCAACTGAGTAGCATGCTGGACCTCCTAAGAAAGCATCCAAGCAAAGCGTCAAGAAGAAATTGTTTCGAGGTGACATAACTGCAGCTCACAACAGAGTTCAAGATTGATAGGAGCACAGGACCATCTGGGACCCAGCAAGGCAAAGTTCACAATTGGCAGTCAAGCCAAGGTTACCAGGCATAAAAAAAAAAAAAAAAAAGAAAATGTGGCCTTTAATAAGGAGAAAAATCAACCAATTGAAACTGAGAGGTGAGACAGGTGGCCTCTGAACCAGACCCTCCAGTGATCTCTCCTCACAGACACACCACGCAGAGCAGATGTTCATGCACCAAACAACTTACATAGGAATGAAAGAAATCAGGTATGAGCCCAGAGGGCCTGGAGTTTGGTACAACAAAACAAGAAGATGTGTTGAAGAAGGCGGGGAGGAAAGAGTGGCTACTCTCGTCCCAACTCCAAATAGTCCAACGTAAAGAGACGCCTCCCACTTTGGGGAGGGAAGAGAAGTGACTCAGGCTTGAGAYGGGAAACCCAGTGCCAGACCCACCATGGTCAAATCCAGTGCTGGGCAGAGCCCCACGCCCCTTACCCCCAAGCCAGGATCTGCGACTGACCACTGGCACTGGGAAGGGGGTTCAGCCAGGTGGCTGACTGTCTCCACCAGACCTCCTCCACACTTGGGCAGCAGAGAAGGGAGCAGGACCCCACACAACTGGGGAGCAGAACATGCAAGCTAGCACAGGGTTTTGTCCCTGGGCCTCTTGCTGGGAGTGGGCTGGTACCACTTCAAAATGTGAAATGGAACATCATCAAAAACTCAGAATGTGGGGAAAAATGGATGCCAGTGTAGCGTTTTCTTGTATATTGTGTTAGTTAACTCTGCACTGCTATCACCAGTACCTGAGGTACTCAAAAGGGGGAGAAGTTTATTCTGACTCAGAGCTTTGGAGGTACCAGCTTATGGGGTTGGCCCTGCTGGTTTGGGGTYTGTGGTAAGGAAGCACATCATGTTAGGAGCCTCGACYGAGGAGGCTGCTYTGTTCATGGCAGCTGTRAAGCAGAGAGAGAAATCAGGGGACAGGGTCCCAGTCTCCCCGTCAAGGACCCCCACCCCTACAGGGTCAGAAGACTTCCAAATAGGCCARCCTTGTGAAGGCCCCACCACCTCCCAGCAGTGCCATGGGCTAGGAACCAAACCTTCACTACATGGGCCTTTGGCAGATGCTCGTCCACACCATACCATATATTTTCCTTTGTTCTTTTGTTTCTATTCCTATCTTTACAATCATGTAAGGTTGCTATCATTTCAAATAGATTGTTAGAATCAAAAGATCACTTTGCATGCTTCATGATAAACACAAAAAAATCTATGATAAAAAATGAGAAATAATAAATAAGAAATATAAAACACACTACTGGAGTAAATCACTTAACCACAAAGAAGAGGGAGGAAGAAAGAAAGTACAAAAAAAATTAGAAAACAAGTTATATAATAGCTATAGTAACACTTTCCCTGCAATGTGACCTTAAATGTAAATGAATGAAACTTTTCAATTTAAACATGTAGAGATTCTGAGTGGATTATAAATAAAGATCCAACTATATGTTACTTCCAAGAAACTCAACTTTGCTCCCAAGGATACACATAGACTGAAAGCAAAGGGGGATGGAATGAAATATTCCATGCAAATGGAATCCAAAAGAAAGAAGGAGTAGCCATACTCACATCAACTAAAATCAAAAGCAGTAAAAAGATAAAGTCATCTAATAATAATGCTGAAAGTATCAATTTTGTAAGAGGAAATAGCAGTTCTACATATATATGCACCCAATACCTAAGGTGAATATCTACAAATCTAAAGAAAGATGCTGACTCTAGTCCAATAATAATTTAGGACTTTGATGCCCCACTTTCAGCAGTGGACAGGACATCTGAGCTAATAATCAAAAAAGCCATAGCAGAGTTAACTTGAGCCCTAAACCAAGTGGAACGAACTGATGTCTACACAACATTCTGTCCAACAGCTGTGAAAGATGCATTTCTCATCAGCACATGGAATGTTCTCCGGGACAGACCGTGTTCTAGGCTGCAGAACAAGTCTCAATAAATTTTAAAAAGTTGAAATCATATCAAGTGTGTTTTCTGACCACAATGCAGTAACACTAGAAATCAGTAACAAGAGAAACTTTGAAAACTCCACAAGTCCTTGGAAATTAAACAACTTATTTTTGAACAATCAGTGGATCAAGGAAAAAAATCAAGGAGGAGGTTTAAAAATTTCTTAAAATAAATGAAAAAGGAGACCCAACCTACCCAATCCTATGTGATACATCAAAAGCAAATGTGAGGGCTGGAGATGTGGCTCAAGTGGTGGCATTGCTCGCCTGGCACTGGGTTCTCAGCACCACATAAAAATAAAATAAAGATATTGTGTCCACCTAAAACTAAAAAAATAAATATTAAATAAATGCAAACTGAGAGAGAAGTTTATATCAATCAATGCCTACACAGGGAAAAAAAGGAGACAAAAATAAACTCCTAATCCTGAATCTCCAGGAACAAGAAAAACAAGAACAAACCAAACTCAAAATTAGTAGAAGGAAAGAAATAATAAAGATTAGAGCAGAAATAAATGAAATGGACAAAAAAAATACAAAAGAGCAATGCAATGGTGCTGGTTCTCTGAAAATGAACAAGCTCTATGAATGAAGAAAAGGAGAGAGAAGACTCAAATACAGCAGAGATGATAGGGAGACATTATCACTGATACCACAGAGGTACAAAAGATCATGAGAGATTATTATGAGAGAGAATATGCCAAAAAATTCGACAACCTAGAAGAAATGGACAAATTCCT